TCTCCGCCTGGTGTCACCGGCTGACCACACCGGGCCTGGTGTCCACAGCCTCTGAGAACAGGGGCCAGGTGCCGAGGCTGCTGGGAGCTCACCCATGGGCTGACCACACCGGGCCTGGTGTCCACAGCCTCTGAGAACAGGGGCCAGGTGCCGAGGCTGCTGGGAGCTCACCCACGGGCTGACCACACTGGGCCTGGTGTCCACAGCCTCTGAGAACAGAGGCCAGGTGCCGAGGCTGCCAGGAGCTCACCCATGGGCTGACCACGCATCAGGCTTGACAAGACTCGGCTGTCCACACTGACACAGTAACTGTGGATTAGGTAGAAAGGGTGGTGACACACCCTTACAAACGTCCTTTAAATTCACAAAATAATGAGTAGCTGGACTTCACAATTGCCTCAATCAAAATAGTTCATTTTATGAACACAATGCACACACACTTTTAAAAGGAAAACAGAACTTTCACGTGTGCTCTGCACACTGCTCTGTCTCACTTTGGAACACTAGTGCGCTGTTAAAGCTGTGACTTTTTTCCCATCATTTTAAGGCAGCTGCACATTTTCTTAATTTTTTTAAAAATTAATTTTGCTCTATTTCAAATGTGCAGATTTCAGTTAAGTAGGAATTCTGTTTGAGGATATTATTAGGAATGCAACTAGGTGGCTGATAGGGTCATTCAGTGTGAAAAAACCCAGCAAATCCTTTTCTTGGGTGCCAGTGTCCAAGCCGGGAGTACCGGGTGTGGAGACTTCCCATGGCCCAAGTTCATGAGTGACAACTGAGCCCTCCACACCACCCATGCTTTACACTCCCCGTCTCCTTTCCCTGACAGCCCCCCCCCCACGCCCCCGCGTGCTACTGTTCTCTCTTTATCTCTTACAAATCTTAAACGGTGACCTTGAACCCTGACTCTCTCCTATTCCCAGCCCCGATGTTTCCTGTGGACAATATGTTTCCTGTCACTGCTCAAGGGTAAGCTGTCCCAGGAAGCAGACAGGACTGGGAGCGGCCGCTCCCCCCATTCTTTTTTTTAAAATATATTTTATTGATTTTTACAGAGAGGAAGGGAGAGGAATAGAGAGTTAGAAATATCGACGAGAGAAAAACATCGATCAGCTGCCTCTTACACATGCCCTACTGGGGATGTGCCCACAACCAAGGTACATGCCCTTGTCCGGAATCGAACCTGGGACCCTTCAGTCCGCAGGCCGACACTCTATCCACTGAGCCAAACCGGTTAGGGCTCCCCCCATTCTGATGCCCAGTTTAAGCAGCCTCTCTTGGTTTTGATGATATTTGTGAGGCTTGCGTTTCATAGGGCCCCAGTAAATGAGGGCTCATAGACTCTCATTGGGACATGCTAATAAGGAGGAAAAAGAGAGGAGGGAGGGAATGAAGAAAAGGTGAAAACAGGAAGAAAGAACAGGAAAAAATGAGGAAAGGTCAGAAGGGGAAATGAGAGAAAAAGCAGGCTACTAGAATTTTAAAGAAAAAATGAAGATGTCCCCTGACCTGTTGGGATGGGGGGGGGGGGGGGGGAGGCCGGTTCTGGACGTGCAGGGGGCATTTCTGCAGCTTGTGACCGAGAGTGGCAAAGGCAGGGTGATGGTGTCTTGCGCAGCCCTTGCCTGGGATGATGGTGAGGTAAATGCCAGGGCCGTTATCTGGAAAGGTCAAGGGGAAACCCTGATGTAAGACACTGGGCGGCATTTACTCATGCCCATGGACTCTGAATGCCGCGTCTGTCACCGTCATTCCTGTGGCGGTCAGTTGCTTTGGAGAAGGTCTTGGGGAAACAAAGAATGTCCTCATTTCTGCCTTTAAAGCTGATGCCTTCATCGGCCGTTTCAGATCACACGACAACGTCATGGTGAGTTTCCCCCCAAGTTACATGTCTGGTGTGGCCTGTTGTGAGCAAATGGCAGGCGCTGTCCTCCCTGTGGCATGTGGGCGGCGGGCACAGGAATGAGAAGTCTCCCTTCCTCCCGAGGGCGGGCTCGTCCCTTCGGGTCTCCAGGGAAGCTAGGCTCTCACAGACAGAAGAGGGCTGGAGGGTGCGAGTTCTCTCAAGCAACCCAGTCTTTTCTCTGCACCTGAGACAATTCCGGGAGTTTCGTTAGGCCTAAGGTGTTTCTACAGGGTACAGCAGTCGGCTTCTCATTTTTATGAAAAATGCATTGGTTGCCCCGAACTATTCAAGGTTTCTCCTGAGACAGGCAGAGCCCACACGACAACACGACAGGCGATCGTTCATGGCACCTTCTTCCTCTTCTCCAGCGACACCCTGTGTATGTTCCGCAGCATCCCAGGCTGGGCACCAGCCCTTCCCTCCTCATCCCACCAGAGCTGCCTGACCTGATCTGTTTTATGTCAAAATATTGAGGGGGAAAGATTTTATTTGCTTTTGAAAAGGCCCTTTGACAATTCTTTTTTCAAGTGTTCTAAAACATGACATTTACCTTCTAGAACTACCTGAACAAGTTCTTGCTCTCTGCCAAAGCCAGCACCTCCCACAGTGCAGCTGTGGGTGCAACCTCAGCAGACCCCTGGAGCATGCCAGCGCCTCCTCCTGACCAGGAACCAACCTGGGCCACACCAAGCAAGGTGACCGAGCTCTCACCAGGTGAGGGAAAGAGTCCCCCACGCTAAGAGCCCTGGCTAAAAAATGCTCCGCAGAGGATGTATGGAGAAACCATAAATTCAGGTAGGTTTTAATTCAGGTTTTGTTTTTTTTTAATTACACTCATTTAACAGCCTTGACCAAAGCTAAAACATAACTCAACATGAGCAGGGCTGACCCATGCTCTGGGCTGGATTTATAACCAGCTCCTCCCTGTGAGCCACGAGGCATTATTCTTGGACCACATTCCTACGAGTTGATTCTCTTTCCCCTTATGTCGCGATGTTTTTACCAGGACTTTGAACCTGCGAACAAGAGAAGCCGCCCTCATCTAGACATGCCGGATTGTTGTCAGAGGGCTGGTGTGAACTCAGCTCATTTTTACACACACTCTGCCCTGTCTTCGTCTGCTCAGCTGCCATAACAGAATACCACAGGCTGCAGGCATAGGCAACAGTAAGTTATTTCCTCACAATTCTGGAGGCTGGAAGCCCAAGATCGAGGTGGCAGCAGCACTGGTTTCTGGTGCGAGCGAGCTCTCCCTCTCACTGCGTCCTCACCGGGTCTTCCCTCTGTGCTGTGCTGGGAACGAGATCTCTGGTGTCTCCTCCTCGTCCTATAAGGCCACCAGCCCTTTAGAATCAGAGCCCCACACTTATGACCTCACTTAACCCCAGTTACTTCCCTAAAGACCCTACTTCTCAATGTGGTGACATTGGGGGGTTAGGGCTTCAACGTATGGATTTGGAGGGGACACAATTCAGTCCATAGCAGCCCCCTCTGTATAGACAAATGTTAATTGTTAAGAAAGAGTTGACTCTGATTCAGATGCTTTGAGACCAAGGAAATGTATTTATTTCAAGGCAGATAGTGCACCGAAGCAGGGTTGTGTGTGGATGGAAGGAAGAGTAACCAAGATCTGCAGAGAGAATAATTAATTCCACAGCAGCCAAGCTATTCCTGAAACTCCACCTGAGAGAGTTGGTTGAAAAATAGCCTCACTGAGCTGTGTATAAAAAAATGATAAGATACCTGTATATAGAAGCCAGATTTTACTCACAACTTTGGGTCTTAAATTTATCTGCCTCCTAGTTGGTACATCAAGGTACTTCATAGTGTAAGAAGCTTCTACTGGCCAGCCGCCTGGTGCTTTCATACATGACGGGACAGTCATTAAACTGGCAGAAGACACCTGGGGATAACTGTGGCTGTCTAGGGTTTTCCCAAGCGAAAGATAGAAGCTGATCAGCCCAGTCAGCACTGAGATTCTATAGGTGACCGAGAGTCAAAGCCACAGTTGTTGATTTCAGAGTATTTAATATTTTGGTTGCTGATTGAACAATTGGCAAATATGTCCATGCTAAATTAGTGTTTGATCCACAAAGAAACCTCAAGAAGTAACTTCAATCATCCTTGTTTGGTAGTTTCAAATGCCAACTCTTCCTTTTAACTTGAATTAAAATTAAATTTAGAAATTCAGCCTTATTTACAAATCACAAAAAAGTTCTGAGAGATCAACTGTCAGTATAGTCAGCCAAGTATCAGAAGATCAAGGTAAGTATTCTGAGAATGAAGGGCACTTTGAACATAGTAAATTTTTGTAAAAAAAAAAAATACACAGAATGAAAAATGAAACATGAAAAAGATTAAGATGCATTTGAATAATGACATTAAGTTAGGAATAAATTTTGTGTTCAAATTTCTACTTGATTAAGAATTTCTCATACTATTTTGGCAAGAATTGCCTTCATTTTTAAGAAAATGCACTTTCCTCAAAAAAAAAAACAACTTAGAAAGTCAGTTTAAGTCAGCGCTTTTCAAACATTAACTCAGAGAATTTCCACTGCATTTGGGAAAGACAACATGATCTGGAAAATGTCACCACCGAGGCCCCGTGTCCCTGGGCTCCCACAGGAGGCAGCACAGGTCCTTAACATGTCACTTGCTTGTGAGACAGATTAACCGGCCGTTGGAGGAAAATACATTCCTCAGAACCAGAGAGGTTGGGCATTCTGACCCATTTCCAGCAGATTCGAATTTCACTTTTTACTCTTTCTCTCCTCGAAAGGAAATACATTTCTAGAGATGTACTAAAATCCGGGTACCTTTTCCAAGAGATGAACAACAGAAGGCTCAATGTCGTTCAAAAAACAGTTTGCTCAGAAAGTTAAAGTGTAGAATTATGAGAGCTTAGAAGAGAGGAGGTAATAATTTTAAAGTAAAACTATAGAAATCTCCTGGCCAAAGAGTGTGTGCATATAAAATTTTAAAATGCTAATAGGCAAATTAAAAATAAAACAGGACTCTAGTGTTAATAAAAATATAGATCATCCTGCATACAGTACAAACCCCAAGTAAGTCTAAATGTTGTTAACAAACTTCAACTTTCAGGTGATACTTTTATTTTGCTCTAATCATATAATACTCTCTCCTATAATGACACATTAGGGAAATAAGCTGGTCTTGAAATAAAACACTCCTCTATACAAATTTTGATTAGACCCTTGGCATTAACTTTGGCAATGGGTATGGAATGTATGAGGTGCTTATTGGTCCAAAATTAAAGACCTTGAAATAATAAGGGTCTTCGGACTCTGCTTGTATAATTTGTGTCTGAAGATTGGAATCTATTGGAATTGGAAGAGACTTCTGCAGATAAACTGAACTCTAGTTGGTGGTTGATTAATCTAAGGGGTTCAGTGTCATTAAGCATGCTTTAATGATAATTTCCTTTTTATGTACATGATCCACTAGGCTGTTGTAGTAACAAGATCTTGTCATTGGCATTGGATATTGGCTTTCCTCCTTATACAAAACTTGCAATGCTTTGTATATTTTGGAATTTTTATTACATCAAAGGTGACTGAGAAATTAAAGTCACTTACAAAGCAATCTGAAAAAAAATAATTCTTCTGTTACATTTGCCCTAAACCTTGATAGTTGGTGGCTCAGATCTAACTGACACCCTGCTTATAATTGCCTCTCCTGCACAGAGCTTTTCCACAGCATTTCATCTGTTTTCCTAGAGTTTATGTTAATTTTTCCATATACCATGGTTACTTTCATTGAAAAACATTGAATAATTACGCATTCATTCATTTCACATAGTATCTTACAATATGGAGATGACCAAGTTTGGGTCATATAATTCCATAAGCATTCAAAAAAAAGCAATTCTTTTTTAAATTAAAATAGATGCATGCATTATTAAAAGATTTCAAACTATGGACTAAATGCTACTTTTTCACTTTTCAAGAGTTCCATCAAATATATAAAAACAAACAAAAATATCAAGTCAAATGTATGCAAATGGAGGACATGAAACTAATAGTGTAATTTTGAGGGTCAGTGGGTGGTCTTTCTAGATTTTCTCCTTTTATACCTTTCCAGTAGCTGCAATCCTCAGGCCCTGATCCAGATTAACAGACTAACCTCTGCAACCTTTAATTTCCTCGTCCTTTTATTTTTCATTTCCCAGCCCACACTCTCCCCTCTCAACCCTGCAGGAAGCAGCTCTAAGCTTCTCCCTAGGAAACATCAAAATAATGAAAGCTGAACGAAGCCTGTTCAAAGCTATGCTCCTCGGGATAAAGAAATAATCCAGGAGCTGGGATGGAACCTCTGACCTCTTTGAACCATGAAATTGGCCTTCCCGTTACATTGCCGTTTAAATTTTCTAAACAGAAGCCAAATGCGTTGTACCTAACAGTCAATTTAAAACATGATACCTGGCAACCTTTTATGTATTTTCCTTCCTGTAATGCTGTTAGGAACGGCAGTCATATTTGAAAGGAAGGACCAAAGCAGAAATCATCTAAAATTTTATTTTTCTCTCTTGCCCTGGTTTTTCCTCTTTTTCAGAGAACACTCCTGAGACCCCCGCACCTCAGGATGTGCCCATGGGCTGTGGAACCATATGCCTGAAGCAGTCTTAAGCTGTCAAGTTTCATTTTAATAAACAATTTTTAATAGATCTCTAACCATGGTTGTAAGTTTGTGTTTGTCCCTTCTTCAGACTAAAATAGACAAAGGTTCAAATATCTGTTTTTCTTTATCACCAAAGAAATCTGATGATTTTTCTGTCCATAGGTTTATTGCGAATGAAATGCAGAAGTTTCAGGACTGCAGACAGCACCTCATCCAGCGGTCCTGGCAGGATATGGCCACATTTTCCTGACTTTGTGCTCTCGTATGTGCAGCCTGCTGAACTAGCCTGCTTTTTTAAAATAACAGAACAACCTAAATTCCCCATGGCCTCGTGAGCCTCTGTGCCACAGAGCTCCATTTATATTAAACCAGACGTGTCCACGTCATTTCATATTCTCGGCCGTTTTTCTCCGTAGCCAAGTCAACTCAACCAGCTAAGTTTTGAGATCATATCTAAAAAGAAAATCTCAGTTGCCTCCCACGAAAGGAATGGGTTTCATTTAAATGTTTCCTGTTTTCATAAATACATTGCCTGATGGAACTATTGTGTATAACACAAAGTCGGCTTCAATGAGAAGCTAATTGTCACAATTAAATTTCAGCTCAAGCCATAGAAAAAAAAAGGCAAGAAAGGTGAAAGAGGGTGGATACTGTTCTTATTTGGGAGGTTGGAATGTCCTGCATTGTGGTCCAGGACCTCCGTCATTCGACTGACAAGTTAGTTGAAGGCACGGTTCAAAGATCAAACAATCGACAAATGAGGAAATTCCATCTATTTTTGTCATTGGCAGCCTTAAATAAATTGAAATATTGGCCACACGTATCCATCTATGTCTATGTGGGAAACATTATACCCAAAGCCATCTACCAAGTTGAATGATAATGACACAAGATCCACCCTGCTTAGGATCAGAGCATTTCCAAAAAGAATCCAGTTTAACAGAAGCCTCCAGTACCTGCTTGTGTACATGGTTGGCATACAAGTTAATGACGTTGATTTCAACCACTTGTTTAATTATGAAGGGTGTGTTTTTTGCCCGTTAGCGTGATGTGCTTTCAAGTCAAGCTGGAGTGAACGTGTTTTACATAACATCCACTTTCTTCTATTCGATGTTTTACATCCTACAGAACTACATTGTCTGATGATCATATTGCAACATTTTTCATTTAGTTTGCAATTGCCTCTTTGTTTTCAGTATTTCTTGACCCACTTGGTTTAAGCGTGTTTCCTGAAAACAGCATATGGGTTTTATCTCCTAATAGAAGAGTTCGATTCATTCCTATTTTATTAAAGTCATATACAATTGGTTATATTTTCTACCTTACTTGATACTGTCATTTCCTCTTTTTCTTAGTTTTGTTGGTGTTACCATAGGTAGCTAGTTATTGTTAATGGGAAGAGAGCAGTGAAGTCAGATATTGTTGAGCATAGTCAGCTGGGGACTCTGAGCCTGTTTGCTTATCAGGCTACCGCTTCACATTCCCCCCAGGGAACCACCAATCCATTCATCAGATCTCTGTGC